CAAGCTTATGCATTACTCTTTGTGAAACCGTGAACTGCCGAAAGGGTCGCAATTTCAAAAAGACCCAATCTCTCGGCTCTAAGTGTTCTTCACATCTCCTCTTTTTGTAGTACGACTTCATGTAGTTGATCAACCCGTGCAAGTTACCTTGCAGCTCTCGAATCATCAAGTCTCTTGCCATCAATTCTCGATCGACCTCATCGTTCAAAGACTTCCCCATCGGATAGCTAACGAGTGTGGGGGCCTTTCATCCGTACACAAGCTCGAACGAAGTGCGTTTGGTTGATCTATGTTATGTCGTATTGTACCAAAACTCAGCCCAAGGTAAGAACTCCTCCCACTTCTTCTCAAATTGACGAACATAGCACCGAAGATATTACTCCAAGGTTTGGTTTGTCAACCCAGTTTGTCCGTCAATTTGAGGATGGTATGCCGAACTCATGGATAGCTCCGTTCCATGCATTTTAAAAAATTCCTTCCAAAAGTTGCTCATAATAATCTGGTCTCGGTCTGAAACGATCGACCGCAGAATCCCATGCTTGGTAAGCCCATATTTAACATCTCCTTAGGGTCTCTACTGGAGCCATATAAATAGACCAAGTCTGAAGCCTCTAAACAATAAAAAAGAGAGAGAGAGAGAGAGAGAGAGAGAGAGAGAGAGAGAGAGAGAGAGAGAGAGAGAGAGAGAGAGAGAGACGCACGCACAACTATTCTCTCATATGAGAAAATTCGATTCTTCTTCTTATTCTAGAGAGTGTGTGAGATTTGAGAGCTTAGTTCAATTTCTCAACTAAGATCGTTTGAAGAAGGTGTTTTGGGTAATATAGTAGAAGATTTTTTGGTCTTTTATTCGTATCATGTGCAATGTACACGAACCCCGTAATGTTTCTGTAATTCGCGAGGTTGTTCGTTCTTCACGAAAATTGAGAATTTAGAGCACTGGAACACAAGAATCATCATTCCACATCTGCCGGAGTCAGCAGCGTGATCTGATCCCTAGCTGGCCAGCCGCACTCTGGTCGCGCTCAGCTGCGCCCTGGCCGTGCGCATACCCGCAGACCTATTCCGCTGCGAGCTGACCCGCAGCATCCCACGTACTCCTCGCGCGACCCGTAGTCGTCCTAGTACACGACCCGCGATGTTCTTGCATACCCCGATGTAACGCCCCAAAGATTTTTAAATATCCAAAAATCTTGTTTTAAAATTTCGAAACCATTTATCGATTTATAAAACATTT